ATCTATCTATTATCTATCTATCTATCTATCTATCTATCTATCTATCTATCTATCTATTATCTATCTATCTATCTATCTATCTATCTATCTATCTATCTATCTATCTATCTATCTATCTATTATCTATCTATCTATCTATCTATCTATCTATCTATCTATCTATCTATCTATCTATCTATTATCTATCTATCTATCTATCTATCTATCTATCTATCTATATTATCTATCTATCTATCTATTATCTATCTATCTATCTATCTATCTATCTATCTATCTATCTATCTATCTATCTATCTATCTATCTATCTATCTATCTATCTATTATCTATCTATCTATCTATCTATCTATCTATCTATCTATCTATCTATCTATCTATCTATCTATCTATTATCTATCTATCTATCTATCTATCTATTATCTATCTATCTATCTATCTATTATCTATCTATTATCTATCTATCTATCTATCTATCTATCTATTATCTATCTATCTATCTATATATCTATCTATCTATCTATCTATCTATCTATCTATCATCCATCCATCCATCTAACTATATAAATATATATATATATGTATGTATCTATATATTCAGTATATATAAGTATTTCATAATTAATGATGTTTATATATTTATAGATATAGCATATATACAGTATACATATAAACATAAAAAAAAATGAAAAGAATAAAAAAAAATAAAAAATGATATATATATCTGTGTATATGTGTATGATGTAATACTAATAACAAATAATTCAGGTTTTTAAATAGTCCAGAATGACCCCCACGCCACTTTCGGCACATTTTCTCGGGAATAGTAATGGGTCCCTGGAATTCGGTATTTTTAATAGCTGTGGCTTTTGCGCCTTCCATTTGAATGAAAGCAGAGATCTCTCCTTGCTCATTAGAGAGACTACTGCAGAGATATCAAGCTGTTCAGTGCTAAAGGACAAAGTATTGTATTGAATTGCAAGCTCTTTGGTATTTGGCGGCCCCCCCTCCCCTCGGCACACACACAAATACACAAACACACACCAGCTAGCAGCCTGTGGGGGGTTGAACTGTGTTAAGTGGAAGTTAATGCACCATATGGTGTGTTTAAGAGACAGTTTGTCTTGTGTTGCCTCTGATAAGTTTACTGGAGCGTGAGAGATCCCATTCACAGATATGGCGCTGGGGGTCACAGGCCTCGCAGAGGGAGGGTCCCAACAAATAAGTGGGGCATTCAGTGTGAGAATGGAGCCGGGCCGTTGTAAGGGGTCCGTGTACCCCCATGTAATACACCAGAGTTACACGGCTCGCCAGCAAAATCACATTAACTCCCTAACGAGACACCTTTCCCCCGCGTGTGTGTACTTCGCTATGGTATAGGTTGGAGCTGAAGCACCAACGTCAATGGCCTATGCTTCCCGGGGACAAATTTGTTGTTAAAAATGTCCCAGATTTTGGAAAAACAATATTAAAGTGTATGCAAACCCAATCAGTAAAATCACATTTACATGGTCATGCCATTTTCAATCTTTTTAAATCTGCAGCTTTTTTTAAAATATTGCTGTTATAGGGTGACAACACTTAGTCCCTTTCTCCCAATTGTGCTTCTGCGTTGTCACCCGGTGATTCTGCCATGAAGGTCCTCGTTCAGACCCTTCCTGTTATAGGATGACAATGCTCTGTCCCTGTATCTCAATTGCGCTCCTTTGTTGTCACGCTGGTGGTCCTATCATGAAGGTCCATGTTCAGGCACTTCCTGTTATAGGGTGACAACGCTCTGCCCCTGTCTCCCAATTGTGCTTCTGTGTTGTCACCCTGTGATCCGGCCATGAAGGTCCTTGTTCAGGCCTTCCTGTTATAGGGTGACAACACTTAGTCCCTTTCTCCCAATTGTGCTCATGCGTTGTCAACCTGTGATCCTGCCATGAAGGTTCTTGTTCAGGCTTTTCCTTTTATAGGGTGTCAATGTTCTGCCCCTTTTTCCCCAAATTCTTCTCCTGCATTGCCACCCTGTGATCCTGCCATGAAGGTCCTTGTTCAGGCCTTTCATGTTATAGGGTGACAACGTTCTGTCCCTGTCTCCCAATTGTGCTCCTGTGTTGTCACTCTATCTCAGATGGAGGCTACAGCACACATTAAGGTCCATGTTCAGGAACTTCCTGTTATAGGGTGACAACGCTCTGCTCCTGTCTCCCAATTGTGCTTCTGTGTTGTCACCCCGTGATCCGGCCATGAAGGTCCTTGTTCAGGCCTTTCCTGTTATAGGGTGACAACACTTAGTCACTTTCTCCAATTGTGCTCCTGTGTTGTCACTTTATCTCAGATGGAGGCTACAACACATTGAGGTCCATGTTCAGGCACTTCCTGTTATAGGGTGACAACGTTCTGTCCCTGTCTCCCAATTGTGCTCCTGCATTGCCAACCTGTGATCCTGCCATGAAGGTCCTTGTTCAGGCCTTTCATGTTATAGGGTGACAACGTTCTGTCCCTATCTCCCAATTGTGCTCCTGTGTTGTCAATCTATCTCAGATGGAGGCTACAACACACATTAAGGTCCATGTTCAGGCACTTCCTGTTATAGGGTGACAACGTTCTGTCTCTGTCTGCCAATTGCTCTCCTGTGTTGTCACTCTATCTCAGACAGAGGCTGCAACACACATTATGTAGCCATGGTCCAATGGTGTCACCATCAGGTAAGTTCTCCTGAGAAGCGCCATGCAGCCATCGCGGGAACGCATGTAGCCGAGAAGCGTCTGCAAGAGATCAGCAACACTGGGATGCAACAAAAGATGAAAAGAGGTGAAAAAAAAGTATATTAATAAAAAAAAACTATTGATATAATTTCCCTTTGGATTATAAAGTATTCTGAATCTGAATGATGCGCGGAGCGCGGAGCACAGAGCGCGGAGCACGGAGCGTGGAGCATGGAGCGTGGAGCACAGAGCGCGGAGCACAGAGCGCGGAGCACGGAGCGCGGAGCACGGAGCACGGAGCATGGAGCATGGAGCGCGGAGCACAGAGCGCGGAGCACAGAGCGCGGAGCACGGAGCGTGGAGCATGGAGCGTGGAGCGCGGAGCACAGAGCGCGGAGCACAGATGCATGTATGCACAGAGCCAGGGGCGGACTGACAACTCATGGGGCCCCTGGGCAATAGGGGATCATGGGGCCCCTGTGTCCTTGCCCACACTCAAACCACACCCGAAAAAGCCTATGAAAGGTACCAGGGACATCTCATGGGACCCTTCACTGACCCCCGGGCCCTCGGGCAGTGCCGAGTTCCCCAATGGTCAGTCCGCCCCTGCACAGAGCATGCTTCTCATATAAATCCTGATTTGTAGTTTGTGGTCTTCCGATTGGTCTAGCCGTACAATCTGCATACAATGTATCTAATAGCCCCGTATGATACATTGTCTCCATTTCTTTTATATATATCCCGTATTGATAAAGTGGTGACTAAGCGCAGAGATCCATCACATTGAACCTTGGCCCCGGGGGAGCCCAGTGAAGTGGCCCTGCCACGTTGGTACATCCTTTTAGTTGCCGTTTGGTCACGAGCCAATAATCTCGTCTGTCTGATGCTGCCAAGTCGTTGTCGAAGCAAGACGACCCCTCGCATAATTCACAGCGATTGGCTCTTAGGATACAGGAGAAGACCACAAGGTCTCCCGCGGAGGAAATTCATTGTGGGGCTAATTTAGTCAGAACCCAAATAACCTTCCGATGGGGTTTGCTGAGTGAGGGCAGAAAGCGAAGTGCGTGGATGAATCCTGCGCAAACTACGGGAGAAAATAGCTGATGGGAGCGTTGATCCTCCAACCGCAGAGCAATTCAAGCCTTTTGGCTGCTGTGTGTTTTTTCAAGTAAATATATTTTTTATGTTTGTGTAGCTGTGTGTGCCGCCGTGGTCTGTAGGAGGCTGTGTGTGCCGCCGTGGTCTGTAGGAGGCTGTGTGTGCCGCCGTGGTCTGTAGGAGGCTGTGTGTGCCGCCGTGGTCTGTGAGGCGCCCGTGGTCTGTAGGAGGCTGTGTGTGCCGCCGTGGTCTGTAGGAGGCTGTGTGTGCCGCCGTGGTCTGTAGGAGGCTGTGTGTGCCGCCGTGGTCTGTAGGAGGCTGTGTGTGCCGCCGTGGTCTGTAGGAGGCTGTGTGTGCCGCCGTGGTCTGTAGGAGGCTGTGTGCGCCGCCGTGGTCTGTAGGAGGAAAACGTCAACCCTTTATATATCATATATCAGTTTATAAATCTATCTCTCTACCAGGGGCGGACTGACAACTCATGGGGCCCCCGGGCAATAGGGGATCATGGGGCCCCATGTGTCCTTGCCCAAACGCAAAAAAGCCTATGAAAAAGGTACCAGGGGCATCTCATGGGGCCCCGTACTGACCATGGGCCCTCGGGCAGTGCCCAAGTTTTTCAAATAGTCAGTCCACCTCTGCTCTCTACTCCTCAGCTCACCCCTTCGGTTTCCTCCCGTATCACCGATTTACTAACAGACATATCAGACCGGATGTCACTCCACTTCCTAAAACTCCATCTATCCAAAACTGAGCTCATGATATTTCCTCCCCCACGTGCCTCTTCCCCTGATTTCTCAGTCAGGTACATCCCATCCAAGCACACCCTGGGGCTAGGGGTAACCTAGGGGGAACTATCCTTTCAGGCCCACATCCAATCCCTGTCCATATCATGCCGCCTCAACCTCTGAAACATCGCCAGAATACGCCCCTTTTAAACCAATGATACCACAAAGCCCCTAATTCACTCCCTGGTCATCTCTGGCCTCGACTACTGTAACTCCCTCCTCATTGGCTTACCTTTACATAGGCCACCCCCCCCTCCAGTCCATCATGAATGCTGCTGCTAGGCTCATCCACCTTACCTACCGTTCAGTGTCTACTACCACTCTCTGCCAATCCCTCCATTGACCTCCACTCGGTGTCCTCCACTCCTCTCTGCCAATCCGTCCATTGACCTCCACTCAGTGTCCTCCACTCCTCTCTGCCAATCCGTCCATTGACCTCCACTCAGTGTCCTTCACTCCTCTCTGCCAATCCCTCCATTGACCTCCACTCAGTGTCCTCCACCACTCTCTGCCAATCCCTCCATTGACCTCCACTCAGTGTCGTCCACTCCTCTCTGCCAATCCCTCCATTGACCTCCACTCAGTGTCCTCCACCCTTCTCTGCCAATCCCTCCACTGACCTCCACTCAGTGTCCTCCCCCCTCTCTGCCAATCCCTCCATTGACCTCCACTCAGTGTCCTTCCCACCCCTCTCTGCCAATCCCTCCATTGACCTCCACTCAGTGTCCTCCACCCCTCTCTGCCAATTCTTCCATTAACCTCCACTCAGTGTTCTCTACCCCTGTCTGCCAATCACTCCACTGACCTCCACTCAGTGTCCTCCACCCCTCTCTGCCAATCCCTCCACTGACCTCCACTCAGTGTTCTCCACCCCTCTCTGCCAATCCCTCCACTGACCTCCACTCAGTGTCCTCTATCCCTCTCTGCCAATCTCTCCACTGACGTCCACTCAGTGTCCCTCCACCCCTCTCTGCCAATTTCTTCATTGGTCTCCACCCAGTGTCCTCCACCCCTCTCTTTCAATCCTTCCATTGACCTTCACTCAGTGTCCTCCACCCCTCTCTGCCAATCCCTTCACTGGTCTCTGTGGGGTTCCAATATATCTTCTTCCCATGTCTACATGAGGTTCCAATATATCTTATCCCCATGTCTATCTGTGGTTCCAATATATATTCTCCTCATGGCTGTGTGGGGTTTCTTTATACCTTCTCCTCATGTCTGTGTGCAGTTCCAGTATAAACATTTCCCCATGTCCACGTGGGGTTTTAGTACGTGTTCAATTATATCGTAGTGTTCAATTATATCTTCTTCCCCCTATTATTTCTCCTTCATATGTCGATGTGGGATTTTAGCCACACCCCCATAAACATACTGTCTTTACAACCCCATACCCCAAACATACTGTCTTTACAACCCCATACCCCAAACATACTGTCTTTTCAACCCCATACCCCAAACTTACTGTCTTTGCAACCCCATACCCCAAACATACTGTCTTTGCAACCCCATACCCCAAACATACTGTCTGTACAACCCCATAAACATACCGTTTCACTGCTCTCTGACCAAACAGGCATCGATGTGTTTATGGATGATCCTGTTAAGGTCTTTAGATGGTAAGTTCCTCCAGCCCAGAGGCTGACATATGCTCTGTAAAGCCCCACAGAAGATAAATGTATGATATATATATATATAAAATCAGGGGCGGACTGGCAACTCATGGGGCCGGGCAATAGGGGATCATGGGGCCCCTGAGTCCTCGCCCACACTCAAACCACACCCAAAAAACCTATGAAAGTTACCAGGGGCATCTCATGGGGCCCCCTACTGATCCCCGGGCTCTCGGGAAGTGCCCGAGTTCACAAATGGTCAGTCAGTCCGCCCCTGTATAGAATATCAATTCTAATAATATGAAGGGTAACATGCAGATTGAATTCAATGTGATCACACGGGGGGAAAAAATATAATATTCGGCAGTCAGCAAGTGGCCGCTGCGTCCACTTTATGTTGTATTTATGGAAACGTCTCTCCATCGACTCGGCCCCAGTAATTGCTCAGTGATTACAATAATCAATGTCTTATTATCCCAGCGATTTCTATCTATGTTTCAGTTTATCTTAATTACAGTATAACTAATGATCTGCTTCATCAGCACATGATTCACTCTAAATGGATGAAGCAAAGCAATGTATGACCTATTGGATGCCTTCATAATATTGTACGTATAATCTGCACAATTCTGGGAACGCCAATATTTTCCTGGAGTATCACAGCTAATAAACCGCTCTATTTACTCTCAACAAGAGCCACCGAGCAATTAATACCCAGTTCAGGACCAGATGACCTCACCGAACAAATTTATGTGCCTAGCTCCTCTGTTGCATAATGAATTGCTTGTGCAGGAGCATCATGGTAGATGAGCTTTCTCCCTTAAATTAAGACCACCTCAGCGGTGAGATGTAAAAAATAAGCACATGGCCACGTGCACTGCCAGGCTAAGACTACATATTAAATAATACCTCGCTGTTTTTTTTTCGAGTTCTGCAAAGCCCATGTGTGCCATTGTCAGTCACTTATGCCATGGGCATGGGGGCGGACTGACCATTTGGAAACTCGGGCACTGCCCCGAGGGCCCGGGGTCAGTAGGGGGCCCCATGAGATGCCCCTGGTACCTTTTTCATAGGCTTTATTGAGTTTGGCAAGGACACAGGGGCCCCATGATCCCCTATTGCCCGGGGGCCCAATGAGTTGTCAGTCCGCCCCTGGCCATGGGTGGCTTGGTTATAGAAGCACATTGCTTAAATGAATAGAGATGGTTTCATGTGGTTGGCACTTACTACAAGAGCATGCTGGGGATGGTGGCTATGCTAGTCCCACAGGGAGACCCTATAGTGCTAGTGTAGCCACCATTAGGTTGAGTTCACATGGGTGGGTTTGGTAAAAATGGACTGTTGATCAGCTTTTTTTAACACCCCTGACCACCTACCTATAAAATAACATGGCAGCCACTCAGGTCTATACACATTGCCATGGCCATTCTGGTTCGCTTTGGAGTGTAGCAAATTTAACTTGCCATTTCGAGTTTGGCAAGCGGCGCTGCTTGCCAAAGGTACCCACTGGAGTCAATGGTAGTGCCTTTAACTTAGCATCAGGGGAGGACTGACCATTTGGAAACTCGGGCACTGCCCGAGGGCCCGGGGTCAGTAGGGGGCCCCATGAGATGCCCCTGGTACCTTTTTCATAGGCTTTATTGAGTTTGGGCAAGGACACAGGGGCCCCATGATCCCCTATTGCCCGGGGGCCCCATGAGTTGTCAGTCCGCCCCTGGCCATGGGTGGCTTGGTTATAGAAGCACATTGCTTAAATTAATAGAGATGGTTTTCATTCGGTTGGCACTTACTACAAGAGCATGCTGGGGATGGTGGCTATGCTAGTCCCACAGGGAGACCCTATAGTGCTAGTGTAGCCACCATTAGGTTGAGTTCACATGGGGGAGTTTGGTAAAAATGGACTGTTGATCAGCTTTTTTTAACACCCCCCCTACCTATAAAATAACATGGCAGCCACTCAGGTCTATACACATTGCCATGGCCATTCTGGTTCGCTTTGGAGTGTAACAAATTTAACTTGCCATGTCGAGTTTGGCAAGCGGCGCTGCTTGCCAAAGGTACCCACTGGAGTCAATGGTAGTGGCTTTAACTTAGCATCAGGGGCAGTCTGACCATTTGGAAACTCGGGCAGGTATGAAGTCCATATAAGGGTGGGGAGAGAAGCACAAAAAAATAAAATGCAACAGCTTGGATGATTGAAGGAAGACATAGTTGTATGTAGGCATATTTACTCATATATAGGCATAGTCAGGGGAGGACTGACCATTTGGAAACTCAGGCACTGCCCGAGGGCCCGGGGTCAGTAAGAGGCCCCATGAGATGCCCCTGGTACCTTTTTTTATAGGCTTTTTTTGAGTTTGGGCAAGGACACAGGGGCCCCATGATCGCCTTTTTCCGGGGGCCCCATGAGTTGTCAGTCCGCCCCTGCTTAGCATATCAAGTTTGCCACCAATTGGAGTCAATAGGACCCCAATCTAACCTTGGCACGTGGTTACGGCGTGTTATTGCAATGCAAAACCCCTTAGAATGAGAAAAAAAAAAACCCAAAACAAAACAAAAAACAGTATTGCTTTCTGACAGCCTGCAAACCATTGGCCCTGATACCCAAGGGTTCAAGGCTCCTAACAGGGACTGGGGTACTCTTGGTCCACCAAGCAGAAACTGGGTGGACCCCTTTCTTTGGGAGGCCTGACGAAGCAAGACCTACCCAGGTACTAGGTGGAGCTCCACCAAAGGGAGACCCCATGGGAGGGGAAGAACCTAACCAAAAGGCCATGTGTCCTTCCCCAAGCGGACCTACACCCTACTAGTTGGTTAGAGTAAGTGCAACAAACAAAAATAGAAAGGGAAGTGGAGAAAGTGCTTCAGTGCCATCGTGTAATACAATGGCAGGACTTTGGCCAATAAACTCAGCTCCTGACAGGGAATGGGGTACTCTTGGACCACCAAGCAGAAACTGGGTGGACCCCTTTCTTTGGGAGGCCTGCCGAAGCAAGACCTACCCAGGTACTAGGTGGAGCTCCACTGAAGGAGACCCCATGGGAGGGGAGGAGAACCTAACCAAAAGGCCATGTGTCCTTCCCCCAAGTGAACCTACACCCTACTAGTTGGTTAGAGTAAGTGCAACAAACAAACATAGAAAGGGAAGTGAAGAAAGTGCTTCAGTGCGATCATGTAATACAATGGCAGGACTTTGGCCAATAAACTCAGCTCCATGCAGTTATTGTTCCTACTGATATTCAAGAGGGACCAATCTGAGAAAAAAAAGTTGAACACTGAAATCCATTTTTGAACTGCTCAGGCACCAAATTAAATAGTTGTAGACCACATGATCCAGTGAGGGGTTCTCCTGAAGATAGACCCCCCCCCCCAAGGCAAGACCAAATATCCTCCCCTAGGCTTCAGGGTTGGCCCAAAGACCCACCACCTACCATCCAAGTGAAAAAAAGACGCACACATAAAGCGCAGGAGAGAAAATAAAGAAGCCCCATGCAGATATTGCCCCTACTGGTGTTCAAGATGAACCAATCTGAAAAAAAGGGCTGAACACCAAAACCCCTTTTTGGACTTCTAAGGCACCAAATGAAGGAGACAACTGTAGACCACTGAACCCAGTTGAAGTCTTCCCCAGTAGGAGCAGGAGATAAAATAAAGAAACTCAATGCAGATACTGCTCCTACAGGTTGGACCAACCTAAAAAAAAAAACCAGTTGAACATTGAAACCCCTTTTTGAACCACTCAGGCACCAAATTAGGGAGACAGTTGTAGACCACATGACCCAGTTGGGGCCTTCACCAGTAACAGCAGGAATTATTGCTTCTGTTGGTATTCAATATGGATTCACCTGCAAAAAAAAGTTGAAGACCAAAACCCCTTTTTGAACTGCTCAGACGCCAAATTAAGGAGACAGTTGTAGATCACACAATCCATTTGGGGCCTTCAGCAGTAACAGCAGGATTACTAAGTGAAGGGCTCTCCTGAAGACAGACTCCCCCAAAGCAAATGAGGAAGGAACCTGATGGTCACACATCCTCCCCCTAGGCCCCAGGGTTGGCCCTACCATCCAAGTGAAAAAAGACACACCTATAAAGTGCAGGAGAGAAAATAAAGAAACTCAAAGCAGATATTGTCCCTGCTGGTATTCAAGTTGGACCAACCTGAAACAAAAAAAAAAATAAAGTTG